GCGACCAGACAAGGGAAGGGACGCTCCCCAGATGGGCCTCCACTGAGAGTTACTGCTGCCACGCGACTGCAAGACCACTATGCCAGCCCCACAGCGCCTTCTCCTAGGATCACTCGAAAACTTTCCCACAGAGCCGTCTCTGAACACCGTGTCCTGGGCTCCAGGGGGGCTCTGAAGGTTACGGATCCCCGAACAAGAGCCAGGAGGGAGAGAGGGAGGGAGGGAGGGAGGGAGGGAGGGATGAGGAGGGGAGGAGGAGGAGGAGGTGGATGGAGGAGGAGGAGGAGGGGAGGAGGGGAGGAGGGGGAGGAGGAGGGGGAGGAGGAGGAGGGGAGGGAGGAGGGAGGAGGGAGGAGGGAGGAGGGAGGAGGAGGAGGAGGAGGAGGAGGATGAGGAGGAGGAGGAGGAACGAGCCAGGGAGGGAGGGGCTTCGTTCTTCGAGGCTCGGGCTTCGGGGTCTCTGGATCTTCCTGTGCCTCCTGGGGGTTCGAAGATCGGGGCTCGAGGATCGGGGCTCGAGACGTTTGGATCTTCCTGTGCCTCCTGGGGGTTCGAAGATCGGGGCCCGAGGATCGGGGTTCGAGACGTTTGGATCTTCCTGTGCCTCCTGGGGGTTCCCTGGCGCCGCGGCCGAGTCCGGCTCGGAAAACTCTGGCCAGAGCGCGCCCCAGAAGAGGTTACCGAGACCTGGGCGTCACAGTTTCTCCCGAAAGCAGCCGGTCTATGAGGGTCTCACAGGGCCTTCTTCTGCTGTGTTGGGGCCGTCTTGGGGGCCTTTGGGGCCGTCGTGGAGCGACCTTGAAGGCTTCGTGGGCAGGCTTGGAGGGTCTCCTGGGGACCTTGTTGGGGGCCTTTGTTGGGGAGGGGCCGTGATCCGGAATCGGTGGGGCGCCGTGGTCTGCCGTGGTCTCCCGTGGTCTGCCGTTGTTTCCAGTTGTCGACCTGATCACGCTCTGGATGTCTCCGAGCATGCCCCGCTCTCCGCGCCGCGGTGTCAAGCTGTTCAGAGGGTCTTCGGCCGCAGGGGTGTCGTTCATGTCGCAGCGGGCGTTTTGGCCCGGCTCCGGGGGCCCCGGGACTAGGGCAGAACGGTCTGGCGGGAAGAGATGCCGCAGAAAGGCAAGGGCCAGGGCTCCAGTCGTGATTCGTCGCGGTGTTGCAATCGCTGCTCGGCTTGGCCGGAGGAGGGTGTTCAGATCCCCGGCGATGTGTTTTGTCAACCGTCGGTCGGCCCTCGGGGGCCGTTCTACGCGTCCTCGGATACAATCCAATGTGGGCATCAGGCGACAGACTGGCGGAGATACTGAGTGAATCTCGAAATTATGACCTCGTTTTATTGGCAGGCACTCATGTAGGCGACAGATTACGTGGAGCACAGGTTTTGCAGCGTCGGCTTGATGGGCGCATGGTGTTCGAAGTACCTCACTCTCCTGCTCCTTTTAGCAATCGTAGTTGTGGGGTACTGATCGCCCTTGGTCCTCGCTATGGTGTCAGGGAAGTGCATCAGGTATGGGGTAGTCCAGAGGGGGCAGCAGGGAGAGCGATGGCATTGAGATTAAAGCACAGCACCATGGACGTCTGCGCAATTAGCCTGTATTTCCCCCCCAAGCCAGTCAAGAACAACCAGAAACCTTCCTACTTTGGAACAGTTAAGGTGTTGTGTGAATGGCTGGACAGACTACTGAGTTCTCTCCCTACACGCTGTGTTCCTGTACTTTATAGTGATATCAACGATGGTCTGGGGGAGGAGTGGAGGGATGGAAGGTGGCAACGTGTTACTACTAACGTCGTGGGGGCCCCGACCCGTGAGCGCCTCGTGGGAGGGGCAGGGCATCGGCTTCGACAGATCCTTGAGAAGCATCACATGATGGCTGCGAATGCGCGCACGCATGTGGAGCACACCTTTTTCGGGGAGAAGGGCACATCCAGTCGCATCGACTACCTATGTGTCCCCATGGGTATGGCTGGACTCTTGCACGCTTGTAATCCCTTGAGGGGCCTGGGCGCGAAGTGGCAGCCAGTGCGCGGTGCTGCGCCGAGAGATCATCTACCCATCAATCTGAGCATGATCATGAACAAGGGAGGCCCTGTGCTTCCCCAGGAGGAGAGGACGAGGTGGGACCAGGACAGGATGATGGAGGCGTTACGTACGGGTAAAGGGAGGTGGGCTTTCCTGGAGACGGTGGCGGAGGAAATGAGGAGTATCCAGCCTATTTACCAGAGGGATTGGGCGTCTCCAGATACGATTTTTGAAACTTTGGAGCAATGCATTGTTTCTGCTGGAAAAAAGCATTTCTTGGGAAGGGCACCTGTTCGGGAGGGCTACAGAGAAGACTGCGAACGCCGTCGGGAGTTACTTCGTCGTCGGGTTTCTCTACGAGGCAGTAAGTGCGAGGCCACAGAGTCGGAGGCCCATGAGATTGACCTCGAACTCCGCTCTCTTTCCCACCAGCTACAGCTCGACCGTCGTCGAGCCTTGCGCCGCCATCGTGACCGCTTGATGACAGAGGCGTCTGAGTGTTGGGAGCGTCGGCGTACAGCCGAAGCGATGCGTGCATCGAGGAGGGCGGCCCGTTGTCGTTACGGACCCAAGAAGCGGGACGCCCGACTCGCAGGTTGTACGTTACCTTCTGCAGACGAATGGATGAGAGTCTGGCGAGAACCAGGGGCGCAGGGAGGGATGTTGGTGGAGGAAGTGGATTGGGATCAGTTGCGGGCTTCTCGGGAGGAAGAGTCTTATGCTTATGAGTCGGAGGATCCTGAATTGACGGCAATCGTGAAGGAGGATGTGAAGGCCCTTCGTAGGTACTTCTGTTTTGCCCCCAAAAGAAAGCAAGTACCCGAACATACAGCACCAGTAGAATTATGGCACATGTTATTGTTTCCGAAGTGGAGGGTCCAGAATCGTGCACTAGGATTAGGAGCAGGAGATGAAGCACCCAAAGTTGAGACTTTCTGGTGGATGCTACATGTTGGATTGCGTAAGATTCGTCTTCATCAGTTGGCCCCCCTCTACTGGCACCGCAGTCAAGGAGCTGCATTGGTAAAGAACCACCAGGCTGGACCCCTAGGACGCCGAGTAGTGCATGTGCTAGCTGCAATCGGCAAAGGATGGTTTGCTAAACGATTACGCCCTTCCCCAACTACCTCGGACCATGGATTTGTGACCGGCCGTCGGCGTGAAAACGCTGTTATGATATCACTAAATACATCATGGCGCCTCCGTGCCGCACAGAGGACACATGCAGTCTGCTTGAAGGACATGAGCAACGCATTTGGCAGCAGCAGCTTCGAGTCTATGAAAATCTCTGTCGCTCTACATGCGTCTGACCCCGACGTCGACCTGTGCGAACAGCGTTTCTTGGATTCGACGATCTTGCTCCCGACGAATACAGGAGGAGTACTAGTTAAACCACGTCAGGGAGGTACAATGGGCGATCCTTTTATAGTATCGATGTTCGTTTCGACCTTTAAGAGACCAGTGATGAATTGGGAATATGACTTGCTTCAGTGGGATCCTACTTATCGTGATCTGAAGGCTAGCTGGGGGGAGTTACAGTCAGACCTCTCTCTCCTCAAGTACGCCGACGACATTAACAAAATTGTGCTAGCAGATCTGGACAGTACCCTTGGAGAATTTCTAGACAAAATTAAGCGCGTGGATGTCTCTCTAAATTCAAAGTTACAACCCTTCGGGTACGGCCAGAATATGTCCAAGCAGGAGTTTCTGTTTCACTTCAGTGCGAGTGCACATTCGTGTAAGCAGTATTTGCGTGACCATCCCCAGTGTCTGGAGGGCCGTGTGCGAGACGACGCACGTTACTTAGGACCCCGCATCGTACTCAGGGACAGTGCAGCAAGCGAGGTGGGTCGTCGTCTGGCTTCGTCTCGTGCCTCTTTTCACAGTTTGGGGGGAATATGGTCCCTGGACCTGCCGTACCGATGGAAAAGAGTCTTGTTTATTGGATTTGCTCAGAACTCTATCTTGAGTGGCATGGAGTCGTGGGTCCTCAGGGGTCACGACTACGACAGGTTGGATCGAGGACTGGCAGCTCTAGGCCGAATTGCGATGCAGGGAAAGGCTTCGACAGCATCGACGGTGCAGGAGGGTGATCACGTCAGATGTCTAACTACTCGGCAGGTCTTATCTTTCTGGAAGTTGGCCCCTAGTGCTGTCGAGCTCCGAGTTCGACGCGTTCGGTTATACCAGAGCTGGGCAAAGAAACCCAAGGAGAACGCACAAATATTATGTAGTTTGTTTGGGAGCACTTTGATGGACAATCACCGACCCCAACTTCGATACGGCCAACCTACGAAATTTGCCTCACCCTGGGTATTACAAGTGAAACGGGATTTGGAGGAGGTGGCGAGGGCATTGGACAGCGAGGTGGTGGAGGAGGTGGCGAGGGACCTTACCATTCTTAAGGATGAGGAGAGGAGTTCGGATTTCGTGGCACTCGACGTTACGGAGCTTCGGGCACGTATGTTCACGGTCAGCATCCCTCCCCCTGGGAATTGGAGCTCTGGAGGCGGTTTACAGGAAGAAGAGGAGGAGGAGGAGAAGGTGGAGCGCCCTTATGTTTGTGGTCTCACAACAGATGAGGGAGTATGTACGTCCGCCTTCACGACAAGAAGGGAGCTCATGAATCATCTCAGGCGGGTGCACCACCTGCGCAACCAGTGCTATGTCCTCACGCCTACAAATGTATGCATCAATTGCAAGCAGGTCTTCGGGTGTAAAAGCACAGCGGCACGGCATTTGCAGGGATCATTGTCCAGGGGCCACTGTGTGACGAGGGGCCCGTCGAATCTGAGAGCCACCCCCGACATCCCGAACACGTTCGCCTGTTTGCTCTGTGACTTTATCGGATCAAATCTGCTGAGCCTGTGTGAGCACTTGTGCGGACACCTCCCCTTTCGGCTCCCACCGTATACAGGACAACCGACTTCTGTAGGTGATGCCACCAGCGGCCTCAAGCATGTCAGTCGAAGCTCCACAGATGCCTTCGTGGTTCAACGAGGGTATCAAGCGGAAGGCCGACGGGGAGGAGGAGGGGGAGCTAGAGGGCAAGGACAAGAAGGGCAAGGGGGGCAGCGGGGGCGGCAGCGGCAGCAGCAGCGGGTTGGAGAAGAAGGTCGACACCGTCATTCGTCTCGTGCTCACCAATTCACGCGAGATAGCCGATTTGGGCGCCAGCGTGTTCCTTCGTTACCTGCTCGCGGTGTCTACCCCCCTCGTGGCCGCCATTCTCGCAGCAGGGAAAGATTACGACCGCAAGTCACAGGAGATGAAAGAAAAGGCAAAGGGGGGGGAGAAGGTGGACTTCAAGAATCGTCCCTCCCCTCACGTGTGTATACTCACGGCAGCCGTACACTACGGCGCGACCAAGGCAGTCCAGGAGGGCAATATGAAAGCAAGGGACGAGAAGAACAAGGAGTTAATGAACCAGTTTTGGACAGAGAGGTTCGTGAATCTCGACTGGAGGGAGATCGGCAGGGCATGTGGGCACTTTCGCATCAAGACTCACCGCAAGGAGGAGGGGGCAGTGCAGACGTGCACGCTGTATATGCAATTCCACACGCGGGATCCGATCGCAGACGTCCTTTGCGGGTTGATGGAGGAGTTGGTGAAAGTGGAGGGGGGACTCTTCATGGTGGGAGCAGCGCCTCGGGGCCCCTTCGAGCGCGAGCTGTCCAAACAAGTAGGAGTGAGCAGCAAGTGAGGGCCTTTGCGACCAGCGTCAGATATCAGCAGCTTTTAGACAGAGGTTTGATAGTTGCGCCAGCTGCACAGCAGGTAATACAGACGTATGCGCATGAGAATCTCCCCACTGTTCCAGTCGTAGTTTTACCCCAGCCGAAGAGCATGGGAAGAGGGAGGGGTGGGTCTCGGGGTGGGGGTCGTGGTCAGGCGTCGTCGGTTGGGAGGGGGGAAGGAGTGAGCAGCGGAGCGACGGAGCGTGAGGGCGCCCGCGCGCCCGCCTCCCTCCCGCCGTGAGAGAGTGGTTTGGAGTCCGCGGAGTTCCACACAGGACCTCGCGCCGTGCGTGCCCGCGCCTCGAGCCCTCTGCGTGGGGGCCAAACGGCTGCGGGCCGGCCAGTGCTGCCTAGCGCAGAGTGCAGCACTTGGCCAATCGTTGCAAGGAAGAGGTTTTGCAAAGCCTTTCTCAGAATCCTTTAGGAGGCACTCTGGAGCGAATTTTTGTAAGTATTCTGGCTTCTCTAAGCGATCTCCTCCTCCTCCTCCTCTCCTCCTCTCCCCCCTCCTCCTCTCCCCCTCCTCCTCCTCCTCCTCCTCTCTCCCTCCTCCTCTCCTCTCTCCTCTCCTCCTCTCTCCTCCTCTCTCCTCCTCTCTCCTCCTCCTCTCCTCCTCTCTCCTCTCTCCTCCTCCTCCTCCTCCTCCTCCTCCTCCTCCTCCTCCTCCTCCTTGGGGTGGAGGGGGGGCGTCCAGGAAGAGGAGGATCCCTGGGCTTCCTCGTGGAGGCCAGGCTTTGCCGGGGACGCTTTCGCAAACCCGACGATCACGAGTGCGTGCGTCAATTCGACGCAGCGGTGTCCTTTGGATGTGGATGCGTTGTCTGTGAACTGACAGCCCTCTTAGTCGAGCGACAGTGGGGAGGTGGGGGAGGAAGAGCAGGAGCAGCAAGAGCAGGAGGAGCAGGAGGGGATTGAGAGAGGGAGAGGCAGAGGGAGAAACAGCTGGAGCAGGAGGAGGAGGAGGAGGAGGAGGAGGAGGAGGAGGAGGGTTGGTCACTTGTGTAGCAGAGCGTGGCCGGAGCAGGAGAAGATATCCTTGCCGGTTGTGCCGTCCCAGTCCGCGCTGGCCAAGGAGACGGGGGCCAAACCAACCGCGCATGGCATGCGCTTTGCCGTACGTGCCAGAGGCCACTGTTATCCCTCCGGGCTCTCTCGACCGCCGCACTCCATCCTCCCTCCCTACCTCCCCTCCCTCCCGCTCTGCTCGTCGCTCGTTCCCTCCATCTCCTCCCCCTCCCTTCTCGTCCACCCCCGCCCCGTCGTCTTCGTCCTCCTGATCAAGCTGCTGCTGCTGCTGCTGCTGCTGCTGCTGCTGCTGCTGCTGCTGCTGCTGCTGCTGCTGCTGCTGCTGCTGCTCCGCGTCGTCATCCCTCATCCCTTCCCCCCCCCGGCGGTCCCGCGGCGCGCGGGTCGCCAGGTGCGCCCAGGAATATAATGGCAGGGAGCTGCATGCATACCACATCGGTCGTTGCACGCAGATATTTTTGCGGTCCCAGGTCCAGATCTACTGCAAGGGCCTTCCCACTTCAATCACCGACCTCTTTTTCATATGTCCTCTTCTTCTTCTTTTTTTTCTTCTTCTTCTTCTTCTTCTTCAGGGGGCGGGCGGAAGCCCAATCTACAGTCAACCATGATAGTAAGGATTGGACAACTTTCCAAGGCTACCCTTGCATCCTTGCCCCGTCGGCATTCCGCATCCTTCGGCATTCTGCTGCGCCCCGCACGGAAAGCGCCAACGTGGCGTTCCAAGGCCCCTGCATCCTTACCGCGCATCCTGCCTGTCCTGGCCGAGCCTACTTCCAGCGCCTTCCTGCTGCACGGCTCGGCCCGCTCCCTCCGACCGCAGGGCACCCCGAGCTCAGCCCTCCCGCCCGCCGCGCCGCCCGCGCCGGCCGGCGCGCCTGGTAAGGACCGCGCGCCTCCACCCAGGGCGCCCCTTGCGTCCCTGCCCCCGCGGCCCGTCCTCTGCCGTCACCGCGGGCCGAAGCCAGAACGGCTACGAGGAGGAGGAGGAGGAGGAGGAGGAGGAGGAGGAGGAGGAGGAGGAGGAGGACGAGGAGGAGGAGGAGGAGGAGCAGGAGGAGGAGGACCCCTCCCCCTCCAACTTGTCGTGGTGGTGGTGGAAGACATGCCCAGCAGCAAAAGGGGCCTCGGGTCCGCGGAGGTCCCTGACGCCCGTCGCCGCCCGCGCGCCCCGAAGCCGGGGAGGGAAGACGCGCACCCAGACCAGACAGTCGGCGCTCACCTGCACGGCTCACGGGCGTGTGCTGCACGGCCCGGCCCCGTTCGCGTCCCTCCCCGGGTGCGCTTGCCGCTTCGCTTGTCGGGGTGGTTCTTATGCCACCACCCACCAAACCACCCCAACCCACCCCGAAGGCTCAGATCTACCCTCGATTTCTAGTGGGGGGGGGGGGTCGGGAAACGTCGAACAAAAACACGCGTGGAACCCTTGCCCCCCCCCCAACCCGAAATTCGGGTCTTCGGGTTGGGTTGGGGTGGTCTGGTAGGTAGTCATTATGGGGGGGGGATGTCCTGCCGTCCTCCTCCTCCTCCTCCTCTTCGTCCTCCTCCTCCTCCTCCTCCTCCTCCTCCTCCTCCTCCTCCGCCTTCTCCTCTGCCTCCTCCTCCTCCTCCTCCTCCTCGTCCTCGTCCTCGTCCTCGTCCTCGTGGCAGGGACCGCGCGCGCCTTCACCTCGGGGTGCCCCTGCGCCCTGGCCCCCGCGGCCTGTCCCCTCTGCCGCTCCCGCGGGCCGCCCGTCGCCCGAAAGAGGTCCCAGCTGCGGCCTCCAAGGGGCCCTTGCGTCCTTCAGGAAAGGGGGAAACACATTGGAAGCTTGGAAATTGGCACCAACACCAACATCATGGGTTGCCTCCACGGGAGGAAGATGATCCTGGATTTTGGTGTTGGTGGTAATCTTTCGGCCACCTAGAAAGCCTGAATATTACCACCATCACCTGGATCGGGATCATCTTCCCTCGGTGGAAGCACGCCGCCGATATTGGTATTGGTGTCAACCTCCAGGCCTCCCAACACAGACACAAGTCATCGTCGATTCCCCTGAAAATATGGGAAACTATGGGAAGTGGGGGGGGGGGAGACAGAAACCCAGAAAATATTGGGAAACTATGGGGAAGCCTGTGATTTGTGTGTATTAATTTTTGTGTGTCCCAGGGTCCCTTCAGTCCTTACCACCCGTCCTGAGTACACGTTTGGACTGCACGCCTCAGCGCCCGCGGTCTGCGGAGCGGGGCTGGGTGGCGATGCCGTCTCCGAGGCGGGCACTTATCCCGGAAGAGGAGATGGTGCCCATAGCGCTACCTTTCCGTCGATTTCCCTTTTCGGGCCTCCTGGGAGGCCGTCGTCGCCACCGCTGGATTACTCGGAGTCTGGTCAGAACGCACCTCGGGAGATGTCCGCGGCGCAGCGGTATCGTTTTTTTTGGTTTCCCCATAACCGCCGCCTGGGGAATCGATCTTCGGGGACCTCGGCAGGCGGTGGATATGGATGTGTCTGTTCCCCCCCGGGGCCCGAATGGATCCGCCTGCCGAGGGACCCTGAAGAACGATCCCCCGGGCGATGGCGATAGAGATGTCCTGGCCTCGCAGGGTTGGACTCGTGCCGCCCGGTGCCTCGGCCTTGTTCCCGTGGTCGCTAACCAGGGCAGTCCTGCACAATCCCGCTTCCTCTCAATCCCGCTGCCAATCTCGCTGAATACGGTTTCGTCCTGGGCTCAGTGCGGCCCGATTCGGCTTCGTGGCCGCCTATTTTGATGATGTAGCCGCTCATGTTTCCCACGAGGACCTCCCAAGAAGTTGCTTCCTGAGGCTGGGGGGCAGTGCCGCTGGTGCCGCCCACTGTGCCTCGGCCTTGATCCCCCTCCCCCGGATCTGCGGCGGGGCGTCGGTGCCTCTGTTTCCGCGCTCGGCCGCGCTCCGCGGCGTCGGGGTTAGGAGAAGCGAGAGGCCACGACCACGTCAATGCCGATGATCACGACGACGACGATGATATTGCTGGTGATGACGATGGTGGTGATGATGATGGTGATTATGCTGATGGACATAATGCTGTTTGCGGCGGTGATGGTGACGAGACTCGCTGACCAGTGATGTGATTCATGGTAGTGATGACGACGATGATGATGCTGATGCTGATGATGCTGATGCTGATGATGATGATGATGATGATGCTGATGATGTCGATGATGATGATGCTGATGATGGTGGTGATGATGCTGATGCGGATGATGATGATGATGATGATGATGATGATGATGATGATGATGATGATGATGATGATGATGATGATGATGATATTGCTGCAACTGCTGCTGATGATGATCCAACTGATGATCAGGATGAGGATAACGGCAGCGACGATGTTGATGATGGTGATGATGACGATGAGGATATAGATGATAATGATGATGATGAGAATGATGAGGTTGGCGATGGAGATGTTGATTGGGATGTCGATGGGGATGATGTTGATGATCATGATGATGTTGATTATAACGATGCTGATTATGAGGATTGTGCTGAATATGCTGCTGGTTCTCAGAATGATGATGCTGAGTATGTTGGTGATGTTGTTGATGATGATGATGATGATGATGATGATGATGATGATGACGGTCATGATGATGATTGGTGGTTGATGGCGGTTGGTAGACCGTGGTTGGTCATTCTGAGATTGTTGGTGATGATGGTGATGATGTTGGTGTCGACGGCGGTGTGGATTCTGATCATGATGACCATGGTGAGGATTGTGATGATGACGATGATTGCGGTAATGATGATGATGATGATGATGATGATGATGATGATGATGATGATGATGATGATGATGATGATGATGATGATGATGATGATGATGATGATGATGATGATGATGGTGGTGGTGGTGGTGGTGATGATGATGATGTCGATGATAAATTCCGAGATGTCCCAGGTCTCTATACTTTCTTGTCCCGCACACGCTCCACAGACGAGGGCCGCTAGATACTCTGGGGCTCCTGGAACGCATCCTCGGCTAATTGCATCTTGACGTTTATTTCCGTTTGTGGCACGAGCTTTGAGTGGGCGCGCGTTGGCGGAAAGTTTGGCCGGGCCTCGAGATGTTAGAGCTGGCGTCTGGAGGTAGCGCGCTCGTGTCGGCCAGTCCTGAGGCCCGTGAGTGGAGACCGATTTCCCGCCGATGTCCCTGCGAAAGCCGCCAGCGTCTATCCGTTGCCGATCTCCTCCGCGTAAGTCGATTCCGTTGCGTATCGGTGGAGTTTTGTTTCATCCGCTTTTGTTTCGTCCGATTTTGTTTCGTCCGCTTTTGATTCATCCGCTGTTGTTTCATCCGCTTTTGTTTCGTCCGTCTTTGTGTTCGTCCGCTTTTGTTTCGTCCGCTTTTATTTCGTCCGCTTCGGTTTCGTCCGCTGTGTTTTGCGTGATTCATGTGGAAGTTTGTGGGATGAAAACCGGATGAATTTAAACTGGCCGAATTAGAACCGGATGAGTTTCAGACGAATTAAAACCGGATGAATTTACACCGGACGAATTCAGACCGGATTAATTTAAACGGGCGGATGAAAACCGGATGAATTCAAACCGGACAGAGTAAAATCGGATGAATTTTAATAGGACGATATCAAACCGGATGAGTTTAAACCAGACGAATTTAAACCGGATGAATTTAGACCGGGCACGTAAAAACACATGGATCCAGCTATGGGCAACCATGTTAGATACCCCCTGGGTGACCTGGATACGTAAAAACACATGCTGCTGGCCAGGTGGCCTGGACACTTCAACCATGTCAGGTACCTCCCTGGATGGCCTGGACACGTAAAAACACGTGGTGCCAGCTTGGGACAACCATGTTAGATACACCCCTGAGTGGCCTGGACACATTAAAACATGCGGTCCTTGCTCGGGACAATCATGTTAGATAATCCCCTGGGTGGCCTGGACACGTAGAAGCACGTGGTTCCAGTTTGGGGCAATCATGTTAAATACCCCATTGGGCGGCCTGGACACGTACAAACACATGGTTTCGGCTCGGGACAACCATGTGAGATACCCCTTTGGATGTCC